CCGGTGCACGCGCCCGTGCGAGATCGCCGCCGCCAGCGACAGCCTCATCTTGCGGCCCGGGCGGAAGTGGCGTCTGAGCCGTGCGCCGGAACCGGAAACTCGGCCGCGTCCGGTGTCGCGGGTCTGAGCCTGGCTGCATCTGCTTTTGGCAGCTCCGCACGAGCGGGATCACCCTTTTGGGTCCTCCTCCCTTCTCTCCCCTGTCGCCCCTTCCCTGATCAATGCGTCTGCACACTGGACTGCGTCCTGCTCCTAAGAGATTCCTTTTTCCCTGCTTCGTCTCTCCACGCTTAAAGGCTCCTCCTCAAAGCCGGCCTGGGGGTGAAAACGGACTAACAAAATGCCTTTACATTACTGCCCCTTTTCACTCCCCTGTTCGTCCTACTGGAAGCCATTGCGGTTTGTGCTCCTAAGTCACTCGGAGCGCAGCTGAGCCAGAGGCAGGGGGCCATCAGGAGGGCAGGGGTAGGCAACATTTTTCGGTCGGAGCGCCAAAAACCCCCACAATGCCTACCTTGGAAGGTGCTGGAGTGCCGGCATGCCAGAAAAACAAAACGAGGGCAGGGGGTACATGGCAGGATGCTCTGCGTGTGCCCCTTGCACCCCACCCAAAGCCCCTGCCTCTCAGCCCGGGCTCCTGGCTGGCAGCAGCTATCCAGAGCTGGGGCTGGCTGCAGCTGGGAGGCTCCAAACAGCTGTGCCGGGCTCCGGAGCCCCAGCATCAGCTCCATACATGTGCGTGCATCCTGCCTCAGAGAGGGCAGTGGGGGAGGGGCCTGAGGCCGCGCAGCCCCAGTCTCTGCCCCCACTCCCAGCACAGCGCAGTTGTTTGTAGCCAGCTTGGGCTCTGGGCAGCTGCAGCAAACAGTGGGCAGGCTGCAAACAGCTGTGCCAGGCTCCACAGTTCTGGTATCTCTCCATGTTGGCGGGGACTGCAAAGGTGCCTCGGGGTGGGGATGCTGCAAGCCCAGCTGGGAGCAGCCACAGTCTCCAGCAGCTACCCAGAGCTGGGGCTGGCTGTGGTGTGCCGAGCAAAATGGCCTCACGTGTCATGCTCAGCACCCCTGCTGTGGGTTGGCAACCCCTGCAGTACGGGAATGCCCTCCCCACAATCACAGGAGCTGCTTCAGACTGGACCCTGCTGCAGCCCTGCACCCAGGGATCGTCTCACAATCCCCACACTCACAGCAACATCCTCTGGAAGGAGCCATCTCCAAATTCTTATCCTTCACTTGCATGTTTCTGCAGTGCTTATACGTTTATAACTTCATTACTTTGTGTGCCCCTCTCAGCACTACCTTAGTTTTATAGTTTCATAGTTTCTAGGGTCAGAAGGGACCTGAGCAGATCATCTAGTCCGACCCCCTGCCATGGCAGGAAGAGCACTGGGGTCAAATGACCCCAGCAAGGTGGTCATCCAACCTCCTCTTAAAAACCCCCAGGGTGGGAGCCTGCACCACCTCACTTGGAAGCTGGTTCCAGACCCTAGCCGCCCTGACCGTGAAGTAGCACCTCCTAATGTCCAACTTAAACCTTCCCTCCGCCAGCTTGTGACCATTTTTCCTGGTCGCTCCTTGCGGCGCTCGGGGGAACAGGGACTCCCCCAGTGCCTGCTGATCCCCCCTA